AATTTTTGGCAGTGGGGTGCTGATAAACCAGTTCTAGGGGTAGCAGCGGTAGGGTGGAGGAAAGGCCCTGATTCATCACACTTGCCACTTACTTTTTAGTAAGTGGCCTGACTTCAGGGCCTGATTTTAAGCTACTGATGACTTAAAAACTGGTCCAAAAAATCCCTGAATATTTAACAATCGACTTTTGCTAGCCTGCATAGGCTAGCTCTAGCACACCACTTGGTCAAGAAGCATAGAGTTCAGGGATTAGTGGACTTCCACGGTTGTAAGTGGACTGACACCATCTGTAAGAACTGGCACTTAGAGGCACTGATATTGGAATGAATCCTCTTGGGATTGGCCAAGTTTCAGAAGCAAGAGGCTGACAATGGTCGGTTTTTACTGAGGTGAGTTGTTCTCAATCCATTGAAGAGCTTTGAAATCAGTTCTGACAGCTACGTGTTACCATGGATGCATAACAACCTGTCTTTTCCTGAGTTTGTGCAAACGTTTTTATTCTCAGGTGAGATCTACGCTAGATAAAAATTTTAACATAGCCTTTCTTAGCAAAGACTGGACAATCTGGGAAACTTAATCAAAAGTTTACTTAGCAATGTAGTTTTGGGATGGCCAGTGAAGGTAAGTGCAGAAAAATCGCCACCACCATTAAAATGGATGCATCTTGATGAGATGTGTTTCCTCTACCTTTTCCTTCTATTCTCATTTCCATGAACTTTCATAGGCCTGACTACAGAATTTTTGTGTAGGATTTTTACTTCATTTTAGTGGAGCAATCTGAAAATTGCTCTTTGAGATAAACATCACAAACTTCCTCTTCTTAGACCTCTGCTACAGATAGAGACTGAGACTACTAACTGGACACCAACTTTGACTGGTTCCCTGAAGGAGGTCTGTGTCTCACATCTAACAAGGTGACTGCGTGAAGCCCATTAGCTCCTTCCTTTCCCCTCACCATGCTAATTCCTTGATCTATGAATATGAAGTAGGAATTCTTTGTGAACCAGAGCTGCAGCAGTTTGGATTAGCAGTCGATTCCAATTCATAGTGACCCTATAGGACAGAGTAGAACTGCCCCTTAGGGTTTCTGAGGGGTGGTTGGTGGATTTGAACTGCCGACTTTTTGGTTAGCAGCCGAGCTCTTAACCACTGCACCACCAGGCTCCAGGTTAGATTAGTATGCACATTTTCCTTAACTCACAATTAGAATGACCTACAATACTTATTTTGCTGTTTTGTCTCTTAGTGCAGATTTTCAAGATGGTTTGAGCCTGGTATCTATTTGCCATGGTCGAAACAACTGCCATGTTTCTTTAGTAATGGAATCCTTTCTCTTCTCCAGTTACCTCCCTGCTCTATCCCTTCTGAACCTGGGCTATTGGCAGTGAGATCCTCACTTAGACCATGATTAAGAGCAGGAACGTGGGTGGCAGAGGAGCCTGAGTTTAAATGTTGATTCTCATCTACCATAGGATGCTCCTTACCTTCCATCACACTGGAGACTTCTATGTTGTTGCTGTATGCCGTCAAGTCAATTCCGACTCATAGCAACCCTGTGTGACAGAGTAGAACTGCCCCATTGGGTTTTCTTGGCTGTAATCTTTACAGGAGCAGATTGCCAGGTCTTTCTTCCAAGGAGCTGCCGGGTGGGTTTGAACCACCAGTCTTTAGGTTAGCAGCCGAGCTCTTAACCTTCATGCCACCAGGGTTCCTCCAAGCCTTCTCAAAACACTTTATAATCAGTTCTGCCTAGTTTGCCTCTTTGTTACTCTCTGTTTCCTGTGTATTATTACTAAGTGTGGTCTTACAGGTATTGCTCATGTAAACAACAAAAATGTCAACAAGACATCTGTGAAATTCTACTATCAGACTGATTTGTCCATGGCTGCTGAGGAGGCCACTGAGAGTGTTCAATTCATTCCTCTGGGTAAAGCTAAGAGAAGGATGAGGCGGAAAAGAATGGAGAATAAAGAGACAGAGGATGTTGCAAAGTGAATAAGAAGCCAGAGAACCAGAATAGGTCATATAGCTGGGTTCTGTGCACCCAGCCTTAGGTACAGCCCCAGGTCCCTGGTTCCCCACTAGCCTTACCATTCTTTCTTGTATCTTTAAAACTCTTGGGTCTTCAAATCCAATGACTTTTCCTCAATGCATGCTCTCAGAGAACTTTTAACCCTGCTGTCCACCCGCTGCGTCCTGTTCCAGGTCATTCTCCTATTGGAGGGGCAACCTAACAAACTAGGTACATGCCTGAACTTCAGCCAAACTGCCTGGGTCCTGGCTCTACCTCTACATTCTAGGGCAGGTGACTTAGCCTGTTTGAGTCTCAGTTTCCTCATCTGTAATATGGGAATAATAATAATGCATACCCCATTGTATTGTCATGAAGATTAAACGATTTACTATATGTAAAACATGACACTGTCAATATAATAATGCTACGTAAGGGCTTGTTGTAATTATTTTCCTGGACCTCCCTTTTCCATGTCTTCGCCTTTTCTGTAGTACATTTCTCCCACCACAGCTCCTCTGATCTATGGATGCCCCCCAAGTTCTGTCCTCAGCCTTCTTCTCTCTAGAAATACCCCTTTAGTGAATTCATTAGTTTGCTAAGTTCCAAGTATCACCCCATGTTGGTGACTCAGGTAAGTATCTGTGGCCTGGATCCCTCACCTAGACTGCTCCTTCCCTTTTCTGCTCCAATGTGTCACTGTCACCTCAAATCTAACACACCGTTAACTAAGCCCAATGTCTTCCCCTTAAGCTGGATCGTCCTCCTCCCCATCCATTTATGGTGCTCTGACTCTCCCAGCCTCCACATCTTACCCTCTCCTTCTCCTCCCAATATCAAATTTACTACCAAACCCATTCTTCCCTCAGCTTCACTCCTTCTCTGCATTGCACTGCCACCACCATCCAGGCCATCATGACCAGAAAAAATCATCACCACAGCTTGTCAACAGAGCTCCCTTCATTTAAGGAAAATGCTTCTCAACTGGGCATAATTGGTGTACATGTGAGAGTAAGAGGCAGCACAAGGACTGGCTAAGAAGCTGCTCAGACTCGAATCCTGTGCAGTACACACAGCATTACCAGCTCACAGGCACTGAACGCTGGTTGTACACCCCACACCCAACCCTGAGACTAAGATAACTCCTCACACACACACCACACGCATACACACACACATGCACACACATACTTCAGGAGGCCTCTGTTGGGGCAGGGGCATCACTAGCCCACTTGAAAATCATAAGCCTCTTCCATATTGAATCCATCCCACAAACCTACCTCAGACAACCTCCTCCAACAGATTTCTCAAGACTCCCCAAGAACCTATCCCTTGCTACCTTTGTCACATCTCCTTTCTCAGGCCATCCATAACTCCAGTTCATTTTAACCACTTCCCCTAGTCAATATCACCCATCTTCTCCATATCTGCCCCCGTTACTTGCACTCTTCCTGCCCCTCCTACCTCAGATGCCTCCAGACCTTGCTCTTCATATCCTATTAATCCTCCCAGGCCTGGTTCGTACCCTCCACCTGTAATCCTGTTCCTAACTGCCCCATCATGCCCGAGCCTTCTCTAAACACCTTATAATCAGTTCCACCTGGTTTGTCTCTTTGTTACTGTTTTCTGTGTATTACTTTGTCTACCCAAATGGACACTAAGCTTGTTAAGGGTAGAGACCACTCTTGTCTTTAACCACAGGGCTTGACACAGTGGAAGGTAACAAGCCTCTAAATGCTACTTGATTGATTTCAAAGTTTTTGATCAAAACCCTACCTCCTACCCCATGCCCACCACCTGCCTATGATGTGGACTTCAGAAGGATTTAAACAGCCAGAACAGGACTGGACGCAGGAAAAATATCGGTCTCACCATAGCCTTTATGCTGAGTATCTAGGCATAAAGCTGGGTTTGTGCCAGCAGGTGAAACACTGACCATCCAAGAGGAATGCTCTTTGTACACATTAATGCTTTGCACAATAGAGGTTGATGATGCAAACAACAGGCATGTGTTTCTTCCTTTGCATAGCCCCTACCATCAGCTTATACTCACGAAAATGCAGAATGTTGAACTAAACAGCATTCCCTGGCTCTTTACCTTCTTCCGCTTGGTGGAGGTCAGTGCTGTCTCTTAAGTCTTCATCCACCCACGGACGAGCCTCAGCCCTGGCTCGAGGCTCCCGCTTCCTTTTCTCGATACTTCTATCAGCATTTTTAAAGATCCATACAATCAAAATGCAGACAACAGCTACCAAGACGGGAGTCAGGAAAAGCATGGTCAGGCGTCTGATCCACTCACACTGGTATTTAAACAAACAGAGGCAGGAGCGGGGAACACTGGGAGACGGCTTGGAGCAGAGAGGCACGTGGAGAGGATGGAACAAAGTACATCTGTGAGGACTTGGCAAAGGAGCAGATTACAGGCGTGTGTATGACGGGTGTGTTGTGGGTTTGGTAATATCCAAACGCGTTCACTTTTTAAATTTTTTCATTTAATCAATATATTGTTAGTAATTGCCAGGACCTGAGTAAATGCTTTAATGCACTGGATCTTGCTGGCAGTGGAAGAAAGCATTTAATCTTCCTCATGTGTAACTATTCTCTGAGAATAATGTGACTTCAGCTTGCCTTAGCCTAGGACTTACCTGCCAAACTCATTTTTGAAAAGAACAGAATTTCCAGGCACCAACTCAAATCAGCTGAAAGAAAAGGAAAGCTCCCTGGTGATCTGCATTTTTAAAACCGGCACGGTTTTGAAACACTGTCCTAAGGTTATTTTTGTTTATTTATTTTTTAAGGAAGCGTGAGCCAACATTGGAAGACAATAAATCGTCATGTTTTACAGTAGAGAAAAACTAGGGCTTCGAACTGGATCTAAAGGTCAGTCATGGCCAACAGAAAAGCCTAGGAAATGTGATACAAAGAAATAAAATGACTGATTGATTACATAATAAACTATTAAGTAGGGATGTTTTTAGTGAGGTATTGAAGTATATATAGTAGGATACCACTTGAGTAAAACAGAGGGGAAAATACCATATATTTATATGCGCTTGTATATTCATAACATTTCCTGGAAGACTATACTATAAATTAAAAACAGTGGTTATATCAGCTTCTCTGTACTAGTTTTGCAACTTATTATGAGTTTTATTTCAAACTAAAAAGCTAAAAAAAAAAGCAATTACTTGTTTTGGAGAGGGTGTGGTACTGGATAGATGGGAGATAAGGAGAGAGAATTTACTGTGTACTATTCCATAATTTTTGAATTTTTAACTGTTATGGATATATTGCCTACCCAAAAAATAAATAACATATATTTTGATAGTTATTTTTGTGATAGGCAACTATTTTCTTAATATATGTTGTACTGTTCCTAACTCTGTAAAACTGTATAAAAGATGATAGGCAAAGTGTATTTTGAAAAATTGGAGCCCATGTGAAACATTGTGGTAGTCCTGCCCACAGCTCTTCTAGGGGAAATGAAATGAAAGGGCTCCAGAGGTGGCCAAGTGTGGCTCCGTGTGACCCCATCCCATCCCATCCCCCATCTGGTGCAGGTGACGAGCCGGCCCCCAGGATGTGGCCCTGAGCATCTTTTCATTCTACGAAATGTACAGAATAAGCCACTCTGTAGCAAAGGTGGAGTAGAACAAAGGTGCAGGGAGACACCAGGTGGATAAGGAAGCAGTGCCACATAGCCCACAGGAGAAAGAGAGAGGCCACGGTGCCATTGCCTCAGTGCCCGGCAGATTCCCAGTGGGGCTGGGTCTCAGTCCACATGTGTCCTTGTAAGAAACCCATTTTCCCCTCAAAAGATCAGAATGGCCCTCGGTTCCTATAACCACATGAGCCCAAGTCATCCAGTGCCAGGAATGGGATTAGACACAGAGGAAATGGGGATAGGGGGATAGAATGGTTACAGCACAGAGGTGGGTGTAGGGCGTAGGAAGCCCCTTGCCTCAGGATGGAGTACCAATAGTCCATGGTGTGCAGAGACAGGGAGGAAAAGGGCCTCTAGGCAGAGAGAATAGCGTAGGCAAAGGCCTGTAATTTGGAAGGAGCTGACATCTACAGGCACTGAAAGGAAGAATACAGAAAAGAGGTTTATGGTATGTACAAACACAGGAGAAGAACCTGGAAGATGTTACCAGTTAAAGGGTGAGGTGTAGACAGTGGCAGGTAGCTGAGGCAGTTAATGGTGACATCTGAAGGGGAGGCGCACACACCTCCAAGCTTCCGTAGTACCCAAGCTGCCTTTTATTCCAAAGCACCTTGCAGCACTGGTATCGATGAATGTAGCCTTCCCAGGGTTCTTCTTCTTAGATTCCCACAAGACCACTCCTTCACACCATGTGCATTCCTACAACGCTCACCCGAGCTGGACCGAGTAGTCCTCATAAAACAATCTCCATGGCCAGGCCTCCCACTCACCATAAAGTCAAGGTAGTAAAGTTCTTTATCATTACTACCAAACGTTACATAGTAAAGGCTTCTCATAAAATCATGGTTTCAGAAACACAGCTTGTAGTGTGCTACCGTGGGATGCCCTATTGCTGATGCTGGGAAGACCCAAACATATCTACTCTGAGTGGTTCTAAAGCATCCTGGGTAACTGTCTTCCCTCATCAAGTTAGGAGGGAGGGCTGAGTGCTGGGGGTAGATGCAGTGGAAGGTGATATGAGACACTTTTATACCATTTATTATTATTTTTATTTTTTATTGCTCACTTTGGATTCATGGTTCATTTTAATGATTTCATTTCCACTGAAGGCAGGAAACTTAATTTTACTATCAAGACAATTCTCCCCCTTCCATTTTAAAGCACAGACAATTAGAATGCTCTCGCTTGCCCCTCCCTTTCTCTGGGTATCCACAGAGTGTCCTGGCACCAGGGAGAGGCATCTGGGCCTCAGTGTTGGCATCCTTCTTGATGGATTCCACTGAAGGGTACAGTCCCTGCTCGTCTTCAGCCACAGGCACCCCTGCCAGCCACATCCACATTGAAGTGTCCTCAGTGTCCCCACTTCCTCTGTAGCCTCCAAGCCCCAAATCACAGGGGCCTTTCTGGTTGGCCCATTCTCAACCAATCTCCAGATCCCTTTTGGGTGGTTCCAAAATTTCTTGGGCTATTATCTTGTGGTTTTGAAGCCTAGGGAATGGGGGGGTCAGAGAGGACTGCCTATTTCAGGTCTCTCACTTTTTTTAAATAGACTTTTTTTTAGAGCAGTTTTAAGCTTACAGAAAAATTACCCAGAAAGTACAGAGTTCCCATTTACTCTCTCCCTTTGCACGTTGTTTCTCCTACTAGCATCGTGAGTTTCTGTGCTACATTTGTTACAATCGATGAGCCAATATTGATGCGTCATTATGAACTAATGACCATAATTCACATGAGGGTTCACGCTTTGTGTTTGTTGTGTAGGGTTTTATCTTAGAAGATTAATAGAGAGATACTCAGGTTTGTCATGCATAAACTTGTTTAGTTTATTGCAAGATAATCATGGCAAGACATGAAAGTAAGACCTCATAACATTCATTCAGAACCGGAGAATCAGAATTAACAATTATAATGTTAGTTCAATGGTTAGAGTCCAAATCTTTAGACTTCAGGCTTTTACTTTTAACAAAAGGTCTGGGAAGAAAGGCTTGACCATGGTTTGAACTCAACGGAGGCCCCTCATAGCTAGTGTCCGAGGTTGGCAGTGGCGGGCGCAGTCTCAGCAGGGTCTCGGTCTTCAGAGAGAGCAAGAGACTAGAGGGAGATCCCTTAGCCTCTGCCTCCTCTCAGTAGCTGAGCAGGGATTCAGGATTTATATGTGAAATTCTCACCTTGGCCTCACACAATAAGGGCCAGTGTGACGTTATGTCTTTTGTCCAGGGTTAGAGATTACCTGAATGTCACATTTTTTCTTCAAGGTTAGAGATTAGAGAGGTTGTTTAGACTTATGTCTCAAGGATAGTTTACAAAGATTAACTATATTAAGTCTTCTTTTATCACAGTATACTGGGTCAAAGTCAACTTAACTTACGTATCGTTTACCACATTCTTCACATATTTCTTATGCTTCTATGTGTAACTTTCTAAAGACTTACAGGTTTCTAATGATTTATAGTTAATGTTAGAGAACCTCACAAACGTAGACATATTTCTAAGTTAATATTATGAGTGATTATACGTATGTATTAAGAAAGCATAATAGTGACTTATACCTTATAGGATTTGAGATCATTATAGAAATTTATAGAACAGTGTTGTACAGTCCTATGGGTTTGACAAATGCTTAATGTCATGTATCCACCATGACAGCACCATACAGAATACCATACATTGCCCTAAAAATGCCCTGTTCTCCATCTTTCACTTTCTTACTGTATATATGTATATTATTTGAATTTTTGACAACCAGCGTATACTATTTTTGTCACTAAAAATAGACACTAAAAATACTTGGTGACTTTTTAAAAGACCATTATAACCGTGCAATGAGTGCTGTCATAGCTGACACCCAGGGTCCCTTATTTAGTCTAAGGTGGGACAAGGCTCCATGGAGGATCTGAAGCTTGTACTGAGTCTTGACGAACTCTCTGTCTTCTGGGACAAAGTGCTGGTCTAGTAAGGAACTTATGCCAGAATGTGATCAATGCATGTTTCCTTCTTCGAGAAAGTCTTGTTTAAAAAAAAAAAAGTCAATTGAGCTAAACTATGTATACAATGAGTTGTTGATTTAGCTAATTCATATGCTCTTTATCTCATGGTGACTGGTTATCTAAGGATGGTAACAGCAGCCAATCTGTGGACTACATTTCGAATAGTACTGTTCTAGAAAACATGTTTCCAAGATATGATTTTTATCTTTCAATGCTGATGTTAAATCTAGTCACCATCACCACCCCATTTTTACCACACTGCCTTCCTAACATCCCCCATGTGTATTTGTAGGAGAAGCCAAATGAGCTTGAAAGGGAACATTCCAGGAAAAAGACTTCTTGGAGCACTGAGTGAAATAACAATGGTTCTAATGGTTCACACAAGCAAACCGTTAGCAAGCATTTATATCAAGCGCTCATTTAGCAAGTGTTTTGTCAAGCGTTCAAGTTAAAGCCTTGCAATAGGATCTGCCTGTGTCTGTCTCACTCATAATTTTATCTCAGTTCAGGTGTGAAGTTGGAAAAAACACAAGGAATTTACAAATACTTTTAAACCTAATTGGCTTCACCTATACACACCCCAGGATTGGTGGAAGATTCATCAACAACCCGTGATATGCAGATG